ACCTCGCGACGCAACTTGCGGAACAGCTCATTAGGTAGCAGTGTTCGAGCTTCATCACAAACAATCAGTAACGTATCATGTTCCGCCAGGCGTAGAGCCTGACGGCAGCGCATTACGGCCGATAACCAGTCGGCGTCCTCGTCCCAAGCCGGTTCGATTAAATGCGACTTATCCGCCTGGGTCTCCCACAACAATCGTCTCCAATCTTCGCCGCCGCATTGCTGCTTCTCCGCCCAGCATGCCGTTGACAACACAACACTTTTGAGTGATAACCGATTATTGACTTCGAGAGATTCAAGCAACTGACTCCGTCGGGGATAGGAACGGGTTCCTTTGGCCGCACACGATAGATAGATCAGCGGCTTGGTAAGGCACATTTCTCGTACTAATCGGCTCTTGCCGCAACCTGAAGCTTGGACGAAGGTAAGTGTCGGTGAGTGAGAATTCGTGCGCCTTCCGAAGTCTACCCCTGCGTCAACCCACTCCCAAGCCGCCATCGGGCTCATACCGCGCGTATCGTCATATGGGGCCCGAAACGCTTCAGCAACATGCTTGATGTGGTCGTCGGTGCTGGTCCTGCTTTGCGGGCCCGGGAGGTCGTCCTTTATCGGCAGAGACCCCGGAGTAACAGTCGGCACTGCAACAGTCTGCTGCAGCCTACGCCACATCATCACCACTGCCACCACTGCCACCACTGCGACCACCACCGTGACAATCCCCATCAAATTCAGCTCCCTCCTTGTCCACATTTAACCGACTATTTATACGACCCGTTATTAACATTAAAAAAAGCCTGTCCCGGGTGCACCTTACCCTCCCAAAAGCACCTTAATCCACACACTCAGCACCCTGAGAGAGGGGAGAATAAGTTTCTGACACCAACCCATGACCTTGAACATTGTACGTTGCCGTGGAGAGTGGCCCGACCAACAGGGGCTCAAAACGTTTTATAATAATATCTGTTTTCGGTCATTCGGGTCGGTCAGCTCTTGTTATATGCTCATGTCTGTGGCAGTCGATTTCTTAAAAAGATGTTTGTCACACACACACGCGTGTCTGTAGCCCGCGCTCGATGTCTGTCGTCGACCTGATCAGCTATGGGGTCCCTCTTGTTGTCAGGGCGCCGAAGCAAGCTCTTCGACGTGCTACAGAAGATAACCAACCACTGTGACTGGTGCGGTACTGGCCCTTGGCACAACAGGGGAGAGGGATCAGAAACAACTAGAAGAGTACCCGGCGTGAAACTTATTCTGGGACATCGCCGAGTGGGTTACAGGGGAAACACATACCGCACGCACTACCGGGTCATCTAGGGGAAGAGCTTCGTGACAGACCGATACGGCAGTGGGTGGCTGCCCAACACCGGGAAAAAGCGTCAACAAAAGCCATTAAGATGCGGGCGGACGGACGGACGACGGCACGGAAAACAAGCCCCCCCATAGAAAGCCCTCCTGATGGGGTCGAGTCTACATTGGTCAGAATCGCGCAGAGTATCCGAGATACTGATGAGCTGTGAAGGCCTAGATGCGCAACACCCCCTTGCGGTTCTTCATAGATACCAGGGCCGAAGTCGCGGGTGCGGCAGATAGTGAGCGGGCGTCCGTTCTCGGGCAAAGCATGAGAGTCGACACAGTATTAGGATTGGGTATTTTGTTACTCACAGCAGGTAGAGCCGGGACGCCCACCGGCAAACACACCAAGCACGTCACCCCCGCGGTCATGCGGCCACCGCGTCCGGAGGCAGGAACCGCAAGCAGTAAAAAGGAACTAGAGAAGTCCAGGAGCGCGAAAGGACACCACTACTCCACCTTACGGCTCATTTTAGCCCCTGCAGTATCAAGTCTTGGTACGTCCTATTTCTGGGAGTCCTGTATTTCGCGGAGTAATGTGTCGCCTTACCGTTGAAGGAAAGGAGAACAGAGAGATGGGGGCTTTTACGAGGGACCAACCACAACTTAATGCCCACCCAAGCACAGACCGGTACCATAAAGAAGACCGAAAAATGAATCATCGACTCGAGGCGGCCGCGGTGGCAGACTCCTCCACGTATCTGGGACCACCTGCGACGGGCGGCGGGTAGAGGTACCACTGCACGCTCATGAACTCAGGATTCTGGAACGTGCCAATCGAGGAGGGGTGCAGGCGCTCCCCGCCTTTATAACCCCGACTGGCCTTTTCGAATTCAATGTCATCCCATTCGGCATCAAGAACTCGCCCGCCGAGTTCCAACGCGCAATGGAGTCCTCCTTCGCACCGCTGCTTGGAGAAAATGCGTTCGCCCACATTGACAACATCGTCATTTGTGGACAGGACTTCCACAGCGTACTACAGCGGGTCAAGCTCTCCCCGGAACAGTGCAGGAAACCCGGCTTCTACTTGCGCATGGACGGGGGGGGATGGTTTAAGGATGAAGTAAAGCCGTCGGCCAGACGAAGGAGACGACGCACTACTGGACCGAATATCACTGAAGGTCGCAGCAGTGTGGGCACCCCGACGGTATGCAAAGAGGGCGCGACAGATAGAGAGCGGGCGCGGGATGCATGAGTGTCGACATAGTATTAGCATCCGGCACGGTATTAGCATCCGGCACCCTGCACTCGTGGTAGGTGGAGCCGAGACGCGCATCGGCAAACATAAAAAGGACGTCACCTTCGCGGTCATGCCGCCATATGGCCTGCCCAGTCGGACCTACTGTCTAGTGCACATGGACCTACTGTCTAGGCCCCACCAGAGTGGACCTATGCGCCAAGCGGAGATACACCAACTAGCTCAGACAGATAGCTCAACCCGTATCCTGGCAGACCAAAACCCCGATACCGAGCCCACTCCACGCAGTGGAGGCAGCCTGGAGCGGACCCGCGTGCGAGAAAACGGGGATTTATCGGTGGTCGTTAATTGTAGTGTTCAGGATGTCCAGAGCTCGCACATTCGTTTACACCGAGGTGTCTGTCAGGATACCCGAAACGTCTGCGTCCTACACTCGGATCAGTAGCGCTGAGTATCAGTGCGTTACGATCTTGACCACCGACCCGCTGAGAGTGCATGGCTTCTTGTACTTCAGGAATGCCAGGCCGGCGAGCTTTGTCGAGGGCCTCTTCCCGCCGGCTGCCCAGGTTTCCGTGCAGATCAGCTCGAGTGGCCTCTCGGACCTGACCACCGTTTACCACTCGCAGCTCCGCAGCCACCGTGTGGATTTTGGTACGTGGCCGTATGCTGCCTGTGCGCCGGCGGAGCATACGAGATCTGGAGATTGGTGGGTAGCGCTGTCCGACGACACATTGTGGAGGGGCCACCCGGAGTGGGCTTTGCTAAACAGCAGTCGGCTCTTGAGCAGAGCTCGTTCGGCCGTGCCGGAACGACGCCCACCCCCCACGCTCTACTATATTTGGGGACCAACCGGGACGGGCAAGACCTGGAGCGTGTGCACCAAGTACGAGCCCAATCTCCACTGCCAGGGGGACGGGGAGTTCTGGCTAGGGTACCAAGACCAAACCCACGTTTTGTTCGACGGGATTACGGCGGACGACTGTCCGCCAATCTCGTCGATCGTCCAGTGGGTCAGCGAGCTGCCCCTGGCGGTCCCTGTCAAGAGGCTCCACCGACCGCTCAAAGCCCACGTGTTCATTTTCACGGCCTGGCAGCACTACTCGGAGATCTGGCCCCAAGACCAACTTCGGGCCTTCGCAGTTCGTGTTACTGAGGAGTTCCATTTCACACAGCGGCATCCGTCACTGGATCCGGAACGCACCAGGTTTCTGGAGTGCTAGTCCTCGCCGCTTCAGCCCCCTCCGAAAATATAAATACCCGTCTTGGCACTCCGCAAGATAGTCACTCTCGCGATCGCCTCGTACATTCACCATGTCTTCAAAGTCGTCCCTTGATACATCTGTGAAGCCGTCAAGACCATTCCCGAACTGCGCCAGCTTATTCGCCATATCCATTGCAACTTTAGCAGCGCCGTCCTTCGCGTTGCGCCAGAACATCTCCTTCAGCAGCCTACGCGTCTCAATCCGCAGACCGATGTTCTCTTTGTCGAACAGCGATTTCTCCCTAAGAGCTAGCCTAAGGGAAAACTGTGTTTCTGTTCCACACGACCAAATCACGACCTAATTTGGTTTTCCTGTTTTGTGTCTGGGCTGTTCCAACGTCCTGGAAAACTGTGTCTGAGTGTTCCAAGATGCGGGAAAACTGTGCCTTAGGTGTGTCTTGACTGTATCAAACGATTCTAGCTGCATCTAGATGCAGGGTA